CAGCTGGCTAATTCAGTTTCATTTATACACCAAATCACAACAACAATTGGCTCACGGTGCTTTACATTGTAAGGTAAAGACTCTACAGTGATCCAGAGAAAATTCCACCAATCAGATCACCCCGTATGAGCAAGTACTTTAACCCTTTAAGCATACATGCTCCCATTTGTGTAACTATTTTAAAATCCTGGTAGGATTGTCATGATCCCGGGTCTCTGACCAGCGTTTTGTGTTTTCTATTGTTGTGATATATTTTGGTTCTGTTCTTCCTCAGCTTAATGTTTAGTCATTTCTTCGGTGTTTCCTCGGTGTAAAGTCCGTGTTCCTTAGTCTGTGTCTGTGCATGTGTGAGTTCCTGTTTTATTTTGCAGGTCTGCGTCTCTCGTTAGTGTTTCTAGTTTCGCTTCCCCTTGTCTCGTTATGTCCAATCACTCCCAGCCGTGTCTCCCTCCTGTTTCCCATTCCCTGATTGCCCTGTATGTATTTAAACCCTGTGTTGTCTCGTCTGCGTCTCTCCCTCCGTCGTCTCAGGTTGTCTCTCCCTGCATCTCTGTTTCTGTTCGTTTTTCCAGTTTAGGTTTTGCTTAGTTTCATGCTCAGCCTCACCATCTCTGTTTGTATCAACATTTGATGAATAAACTCACTTGCATCTGAGCTGCCTGCATAAAGGGTCCTTTAATAATTTACACACAGCTTCCCCGCAAACCGTGACACAAATAAGCTAGTGCACCACCGGAGTTGTACACAGCATGCATTCAGCTTGTCCCAGGTCAGGGTTTCCTTTGCAAAAATCAAGTAAAAGGTGCTCGCAACCACAGTAACATAATCCAGAAACACACCTGGATCAGCTGTTCATAGCACTTCCTACGTTGCAGTTAACATCATCAAATTGTCAGTGCGAACTTTCAAGTCCGCCATTACCTGCGAAAACCGGAAGTGGTGTCGTTACAACATACACAAAACCTAGTTTTCCCCCTACAGGGCCTTTCAAAGGTCAGCTGGTGTTTTTACAAGTCATGTTTGACTTTATGCCTTTGTGTGTAGTTTCTGGGAGGCTGAGAACTTAAATTACACTGTTGGAAGTTGTTTATTTTCATGCTGCTTTGTTGCAAATTGTGCACAGTAATATTTATTTTCAATTTTTTTCCTACAGTTTATAAAACTGTAGGAAAAAAATTGAAATAACTTTCCTGTGGTTGGAAACTATTTTGTGCAACGTTTTTGCATTTACAGTTTTGGGGGAAATGCCTGTGAAGTTTCTGTAACTAGAAATATTCATAGGAAACAGAAGTAAACCTGCAGTCTGAGAGGGAAGTGTTCTTTGTGGAAATACTGTACGTAAGATGTTTTATGTGGTGAGAAGGATTTTAAATTAGATACTGGATTTAGCAGGGGGCCATGTTCTGTGCACTTTCAGCCCAAGTCCAGCACCCTGAGACGATACACAGCGAAAGGAAGGAGGCGAAGAACCAGTGAAAGTCAGAACCACTGTTCAGAATGAAACGGCTAAGATCCATGAGTACACCAGGAACATGGCCACAGCTGATAGTGTGCCTAGAGTACATGGTTCTGTTGAGGCAACAGAAACACAGAGAACGGAAACATCATGGAAAGACGAGCCTCTGCACAACATGCACCACCAGCGCCGCACGAGCTCGATAGAGGCTGGGGTCTACCACGCCACAGGTGCAGTTCAGTCCCAGTTCTATGGTTGAACCCTCTCACAGACTGGTGATGATGCCATAGTGATAAATGTTATACCAGGTAGAAGCAACATCAGGATGTAACACAAAAACCTCGACACAACCCGAGGGCTGTGAGAGGAGCTTGTGTGGAGGGTGAAGTAGTGGTTCACGAGGAGTTTGGTGCACTCGGGGCACGGACCCCTAAA